AGCTTCCCCCCCCCCCCCCCCACCCCACATCCCATTTATGCCTGTGCACTTGACCCAACTCGATCATTCCCCTACACAGCCCTCTGACTCTTGTAGAGCCCTGGGGCTGTTTTTTCTACTCTATATTATAATCATTTGTAAAACGACACACAGGTAGCTCTTTACTTATTAACTGTATACAATTTAGTACACGTAGGCCTAATTTGCCAGCAGTCGATGCACTTTGTGATCATATGAATTAGACGTGGTTGTGGTGGGTGTTTATATTTCACATAAGAATGACTGCATCCACATATAATTTACACAAACATTTTTTTAATTTTTTTTTTTTTTAAATTGCAATTCACATCTAACATCTGGAAACCTGCCTTTAATACAAAACAAATAACACGGAATAGAAAAGTCAGTAAAAGCCTCGCTCAAAAATGTTAATGCCTAAAGAGATTCTTTTTTTTTTCCCCCTTCACATCCAAAATCAAGTACTGTACACTCGCTACTTACAGGATGGAACGATGCTTTATAAACCAAAGTCTGGTCATGAGGGTTAGGGAGTGGTGTCTTGAGAAGATTTCCTGCTGTGACAGGAATTGAACCCAGAACTTTGGGATTAGAATGCAAGAATCTTAACCGCTAGGCTATACAAACAACTTGTAACTTTAGTTTTAAATAATCTTAACAAATCCAAATAAATAGCATTACTATACCAAGAATGACAGAATGTAGGCGATCAACCTGCAAACAACATTTAAGATTAAACAAATTGATAGGCCTGCTGATAGTATTTTGGCAAATTCATGAATTAAGTACTGTATTCACTTCAGCCTTTGTCCAAATGTTATGTTGCAAATACATGTAAATGTGATATGCCCATACTTGGGTGTAATGTGGCATCTTTATAGGCCTACCCATATGCACATAACCACATTTGTCACATACAGGCTAACCGTTAGCTGCCGTGCGTCCAAACGAGAAATTCCCGATCCGGATACCAAAAATATGATGATCGAATCACTGGCCAATAAGAAACTGGAAATTGTAAACGCGTACGTGAGATTGGTTGATCGGGCGTTCTCACGCAGTTGCGGTTAGCGCTAATGGTTAGCTCCCGATCCGGATACTAGGGCTCCCGTGAGAACCAGGCTAGAATGTTATATTGTGGACGGAGCATTAAACGAGGAGTTTAAAAATACACACTTTTGAATTCAGTAAACAACACAAAAATAGCTTTGTAGACTTTTGCAGATCAGCGTAGCAATGTGTAGCCAACTGTACTAATAAATGGCAGTTTCATCAAAACACTATACTGCCGACAGGCTGATTGCATTTAATAAAAAAAGAAAACTGTAATTGATGATCTAATGTGTATAACATGTCTGTTATAATGTAAACTATATGTCTTTAACTTCTGAACTTGAAAAATTAAAACTTCAATATTTTAATTGCTGACTTTGCAAAACTGAAGCTGCGGCATTACATTTAAAATTGTAATGAGAAAATATTTTTCTCACAACGAGACGCAGCATTACCTTTTCCTGTTCTTTCCATAGACCCCTAAATTTTCTCGTGTAAATATTTTCGTAGTCAAACGTTTATAAGTCTGCAAACAAGGATTTTGTTTATCCGTTTCGTATTAGAGGTTCATAACTTCGATGCTTTTAAATAAAAAATTAAATGCTTTTTTAATTTATTGACGGGCTTCTCTTGCCCCTTTTTTCAGATAATGTCTTTAAAACTACTAAGATTGATTCACGAGA